ACTGGCTGTTACGTAGCGACGTAGGAGGTTCTTGCACTATGAAATAAAAGCAGCAAATCTCCTATAAAATGTTCAGGAAACAGGAAAAAAAAGTTTCGATTGCGTAAAAAAGAAATAGAAAAATGCATTTAAATTTTTATTTTATGATTTTATTTTACATCATCGTTTTGTTTATGTAAGATTAATGAATGGAATTAAAAATGTTAGAAAGAATGTAAAAATATAGAAATAAAAATGATAATAAAATAATTAGATAACAATAAGTACTTTTGAGAAAATAATAACGAAAAAATCGTGTGTATTTTTCTTGAGATTTTCTTTTTTTGTGTGAATAATACTTTTTTTTCGTTATCTGTAACCCAAAGGAATATTATCTTAGATTCTTGTCCCTGAATTATACAAATGTCTCCAAATTTCCTAGATTAAACATTTTTGAGTGCTGAAGTTTCCAAAAGTTAATTTAATCCGGGAGAATGAATCAATAGATGTTTGTTTGTAAAGAACGAGCAACATTATAGTGAAAAACTAAACTTTCATAAGCAACTGAGACCTTCCGAGAGGAACTCCATCAGTGCCTGATCGTGATCTTTGAAATGGGAAGACACTTGATGAATGCGATCCAAGTAGGAATATATTAACACTAGATGTTAGCAAAAAAAATGCAAAATCGATACATAATATCGATCACTAAGGTGAAACCAACAGTAGAAAATTATCTAAATATTATGTTTTCTTGTTTAGAATAATGATACAAATTTGTTTACGAATTCTTAAAGTGGAATAATTCATTGTTGTATCAAAGTTGACAGTTGTAAAACTTTTTGTGCCTATTTAATTTGGTAAAACACTCAATCCACGATCCTCCTGGATGCACCAGAATCACAACAGTAAAATATGAAAGTTACTGTTGTCATTGTTTTAAACGGTCTAGGCCAACAGCTACTTGGAAATCTGTTATTTTAAGAAAGTTTTGAGACAATCCTCTTTAATTTGTTTAATTTTTCCATTGCAAAGAAATATATATATATTATTTTCCAATCACAGTAAATTTATCGAACTACGGACTATATATATTAACACTGTGTGAGGAAATTGCGATTGAATGCTACTAGTATTTTGTAACCTGTGATTTACCCTATACTACAAACATGCTCCAGTAATGTAAAATTTGATTATTTCCTAATTGATGAAAATTACAATAAATAAACAATTACAATAATTTACTAATAGTTGCATCTTTGTTTGTTTGTAATTAAGCACAAAGCTACACAATGGGCTATCTGTGCTCTGCCCACCACGAGTATCGAAACCCGGATTCTAGCGTTGTAAGTCCGCACACATTCCGCTGTGCTACTGGGGAGCATAGCTGCATGTTAATAAAACTTGGGTTCATTTCATTGATGATTATAAGGTAATTGGCATGACGTATACTACCAGTTGGTATGTGTTATAGTATTTATCATGCATTCTAAGACCTCGTTAAAACTGTTGCAGATCGCAATTGAGGATATAAAACATGAGGGCATTACGAATAATCGTCAGTTTAATTCGTCATCTAAAACTAACATAATTAATCTATGACATATATTCAACCATCTTTACCGCATCAAACCGGAAAACGATTTTTTCCACTGGTCCAACTCATCTTGAATTCAAAGCTCCTAACTCAATGGAGATAGGTCTTTCTAACTGTTCATTCGATATAAATTCACTAGGAGATAATTCCCTAGAGAACTACGGCAAAAGAACACAAATTTAGTGGCCAAACGAAAGAAAAAAATCGAAATTTAAGATGAGCAACAATAGATAGATGTTGTCAGTATCCATCTATTAGGGAGAGGCTACAATGTAACCAAGAAACTGCTTCAGCTAAGTCTGATACAGTTGACGAAATAAACTGTCTTTCAGAGTTCCCTGACTTTCCTTTGACAAATTGAAACATGGGATAAATACATAGGTGTTGCACACTGAGAGTACATAATCTCGCAAAACCTTCTGTCCTGAAGTTTAGATTAGGTAATTTTCTAACGTTTATCTTTACCTCACATTTTAGTGTGCTCGCTATCTCAACATTTAACATAGTCGAGTAGAAGCTCTTATTTCATCGTTTTTAGAAATTTAACATTTAGGTTTATATTTATATATTTATACGACGGCACAGTTGTTATTGTTTGTTAATAAGTACAAAACTACACAAAGGGCTATCTGTGCTCCGCCCATCACAACCCGGTTTCTAGAGGTATAAGTCTGTAGACATGCCGCTATGCCACTGGAGGGCACGACGGGACAGTAGGCATAGCCATCCTGGTTCTACAAAAAACAATATACTTGTGTCTTTTATGTCAACTGAAACTACTTTATAGTTTCGACGTTATTTAAAACATACAAAAATAGCTCAAATTCATATTTGTATTCGATATTATTACTTTCAACTAAGGGTTTGTTTGTTTGTTTTGAATTTCGCGCAAAGCTACACGAGGGCTAGCCGTCCCTAATTTAGCAGTGTAAGACTAGAGGGAAGGCAGCTAGTCATCACCACACACCGCCAACTCTTGGGCTACTCTTTTACCAACGAATAGTGGGATTGATCGAACATTATAACGCCCCACGGCTGAAAGGGCGAGCATGTTTGGTTGGACGGGGATACGAACCTCAACTAAGAGAGAGAGAAAAAACAACACTTTTCAATAATAGATAATATTCCATAGTTTATGTGTCAAAAGTCACAGTTCAGCATCGAGAACTGTAGTAATTTCGTTATTACAGAACACACCATTTTTGTTTTAAAAAACACCCCAGCTTGAGATTTGACAGCTGTATTTGACAGATATAGTAGAGGTCGGAAGAAATGATGTTATACTTTTCAGACTCGTACAAACAACGTGCGTGCTTCAACTACATGTAGTACAACCTTGATCATTGCTCAGAATGCTGATTCACACGTAAACAAAGCTACATTTTCACCAAAAGAAAAACAAATGCGTTTCCTTCATTGCCATTACTCATTTGTTTGGGTCTTTGTTATAGTTCGTTCAAACCTACAAGAGAGCTATCTGTGGTAACCGTCCCTAATTTTGAAGTGATAGAGAGAGGGGACGCTAGTGAACACCACCCTTATTTGTTTCCATTACCGAATCTAATTTATTAAAAATATTTCTTTTTCAGCCATCCTGAATGTTAACGTAGAGAATCATTTATTATTAGATTCTACAAGATTCTGTCTTCCTAATTCAGGACTAGCCCCCAGAATGGCCTCTGCTTACTTTAATAAATAGATTATGAAGGAACAAGGTCATCCACTTCACGTTTTTAGAAAGGGGATTTCTATTTAGGATTTATAAAGTTATTTTCCTCTTCCACTAACTATATAGCGTATATTGGCGAAACCATTTTGAATACAAGGGAACATTATATCAAAAACATCAAACTAGAGTGTCATAATGAGCACAAGATGGCCCGGCATGGTCAGGTGGTTAGGGCGCTCGACTCACAATCTGAGGATCGTTGGTTCGACTCCCACCAAACATGCTCGCCCTTTCAGCCGTGGGTGCATTATAATGTGACGGTCAATCCCACCATTAGTTCGCTAGTTGGAAATACGTTTTTACAATATCACGTCCACATTAGCATAGCTAGTTTTTTGTTTTTTTTTTCAAGAACAAACTTTTAGCTCATAGCTCCATCTCTTGACCGTTTTGAGATTTAATTATGGCTGCGGCTATTGAGGATTCTCTTTTGTTACAGTGTCACATCCACGTTAGCGTGACTACTTACTTGTGCATACATTTTTACAATGTCATAATAACCATATTAGCATCGCTAATTGTGCATACACTTCTAGAATGTCATAATGACTACATTAGCATTGCTAGTTGTACCTATATTAATTTAGTGTTATAATAACCGAATTAATATCGTTAGTTGTACTTACATTTTTACAGTGCCATAATGACGATATTAAATCGATAAAACTATGTATAAATTTCTACAGAACAAAGACCGTATTCAATGGTTATAATTATATATACCTTACTACAGTTGCAGAATGACCGTATATTGATATCGACGGTTCTATATGCCTTTGATCCTATATCATAAGGGCCTTACTTAGATCACTAGTTGTATATACATTTATATAAGACCATAATTACCATATTAACATTATTAAGTAGTTGTATGTGCACCTTTACAGCGGCATAATGACAGTATGAACACCGTTAGTTGTATATGCACCTTTGCAACAGCACAATGACAGTATGAACATCGTTAGTTGTATATACACCTTTACAACGGCATAATGACAGTATGAACACCGTTAGTTGCATATACACCTTTACAACGGCATAATGACAGTATGAACATCGTTAGTTGTATATACACCCTTACAACGGCATAATGACAGTATGAACACCGTTAGTTGCATATACACCTTTACAACAGCACAATGACAGTATGAGCACCGTTAGTTGTATATGCACCTTTACAACGGCATAATGACAGTATGAACGCCGTTAGTTGTATATGCACCTTTACAACGGCATAATGACAGTATGAACGCCGTTAGTTGTATATGCACAGCTCAACCATTTCCTTGACGTAGTGTAACTATTTAGATTGGTTGTTTGTCCGATTAATATAGAACTCAACCATTTCCTTGACGTAGTGTAACTATTTAGATAATGTATATGGATTGACGATGTTCATACGATAATAATGACATAGTGGAAATGTAGAAATAGTTCGAAATATAATATGGCGCTTGGTATACAGATTGGTTGTTTGCCCGATTAATATAGAAATAGTTACACTACGTCAAGGAAATGGTTGAGCTCTATATTAATCTGGCAAACAACCAATCTAATATTCTTTACCTAATTAACATAATACTAAATATAAATAATCTCGAAACTCATTGTAAGTCCTGTCTAGACGATTACGTATACAATTAACGTATATCTTTATATGACTGACTTACTTAAGTTAATTTAACTATTACTTACCGAAAATTAATATAAGTAGGTCAGAAATGGCGAGTGAGAACAAATAGTAGTTGGTTGGAGTTTGAAAATGAGAATTTCTGGTTATAGCGAGACATACTACAATGTTCCCAATGATTCCACTCACAAATATCAAGACGTAAACAATGGTAATAGGTATAATGATGACCGAAGATATTTGCTGAGGTCCCATCCGGACTTCCAAGTACTGTTTCTCCGTTAAGTTGGAGAAACTGGAGATATTATGATCACCCATTCTTTAAAAACGTTCCAAGAAAGTTTATATAGCTTTCAAAGATTTCAGATTACAACAGGCATGTAAATCTCGTGTCTGCTAAGCAGAAGTTGTATAATGAATGATTTATTCCTATTTTGAAAAATAAAAGTTCGAGTATTTATTGCATAATTTTTAATTAGTTGCTCCAGTAAATACGCTCTATCTTTAATTGTGTTGATTAACACTTCACACTACGCCTTCACTTTACTAGGAAATTACGGAGTTAAAATTCCAAAACAAAAGAAGACTCTTTAACCAGATTGCTTTGGCTTCAAAAACCAAATATAATTGTGAATTGGTAATTACAGTTTTTTCATCTTTTTTAAACTCAAAAGCTGATGCCAATTCATACACGGTATTAATCGTGAAACCTTTTTCTTTTTTCAAGCTTCTTGCATTAGCATCAACGTTTTAAAAATATAGCAGCTCAAAATCTTGAACGATTTAAAAACAACTTGGACCACACGACAACCATTGATTTGTGGTCTGTAAGTCGTAAGACTATTGTAAAAACTTCAAGCCCCCAACTAGACACCTAGGAATAATAAATTAAATTCTGCCACAGCAAGGCTCTTAACAGCTCCAATAAAATTGGCTCACTATGGAAGTCTATCCTACTTTTTTCCTGCTGCTTTTACTAGACCTTCATACAGAAGTGAACACATTCGCTTCTACCTGTGATTAACGGTTGACGCAGAAAATAAACGCGAACTCCGTACTGTAGCTGAGTGCTGGATAGAAGGCTGTAGCACGCAGTCAAACACCAGCTACTTCTGAGTTGACGCGCTTCTCTGAATCTCAACAGTACGTCAGTTCCGCCAATCACAGAGAAAGCAATTCAGCAGACTTTTGTTTTTGCTTCTATGATGATATTCTACACAACTGACAACATATATTTAATGTGCTAACGCCACGTCGGTATTGGTATAGCAAAAAAGTATTATATAACTAACAAAAATAATTATCATTTGTTTACTAAAATCAGTAATAGCATTTTAATGATTTAAAACATAAAATTTTACAAATATATCTTTCTCATTTTTATTCGATATTCGTTTACTTTGTTTGGCAATATAATTTGTATTACTTATTCTTGAAAGTTAGATTGTTGATAAAAAAAATGTCCTTATTTTCAACATTTTATTTCATTCAACTAGCGAATTAAAAAAACAAATAATGTACAAGCTATAAATGAACAAAGAATTAGTAGAACTAATTGTACCGTGATATTCAGTTTACTGTTGCAATGCTGCAAAACAAGTGCGTACATAAAGCTATAGTTATAATTATTATAATCAGATGACATCAAATATTACTATAGCAGAGATACAGTTTTAGTTAATTATCATCTATGTGATGTACCTATTCAACGGGCTCGCCATGGCCAGGTGGTTAGGGAGCTCGACTCGCAATCTGCGGGTCGCGGGTTCGAATCCCCATCCCACCAAACATGCTAGCCATTTCAGCCGTGTGGGCGTTATAATGTCAATCCCACTATTCGTTGGTAAAAGAGTAACCCAAGAGTTGGCGGTGGGTGGTGATAATTAGCTGCCTTCCCTCTAGTCATTCTTGCTAAATTAGAGATGGATAGTGCAGATAGCCCTCGTGTAGCTTTGCGCGAAATTCAAAACAAACAAACGAATAGCGGGATTGACCGTTACATTATAACGCCCCCACAGATAGATATGATCAACATACTATACTGATCCAACAATTTAAAAACCTAAAATAAAAAGATTAATGTTTGTTTATTTGTTGTTAAGCGCAAAGTTACACAATTAGCTATCTGTGATATGCCAACCACGATTATCGAAAAAGTTTAACAATTATGAGATAATCAGTTCTTATGGCGTATAACATCTATATTGGCGAATACTGATCTGTAAATTAGCAAAGAAAGATGTGTTAAAAAGTATTATTACATATCTACAAATCATGCTTCGCCAGCGGCTAGGTGTTTTATATACCATAATAATTAGTAGCACTTAAATGACTAATATAAATTACGTTTCTACCGAGGCTTTGTGTGTTGTAAACCTAATCGATCTGATGTGTACTGGTGTTTATCGGAAGGCCTCGTTGGCAACGGTGTGCACCACGCAAAGTGTGCTTTTGAGATGCAATTCTTCTTGTTGGAAACCCGTACAGAACGGATAAACAAAGACGTTACAAAAATAACCTAGTATGGCTTGGTGGTTAGGGCAATCGACTCGCAATCTGAGAGCGTTATAATCTCACAATTCGTTGCTAAAGAGAAGCCCAAGAGTTGGCGGTGAATGGTGTTCAATATTCGTCTTCCCTCTAGTCTATGACTTCAAAAATTAGGGACGGCTAGCGCAGAAGCCCTCGAATAGTTTTGTATGAAATTAAAAAACACACAAAGGATCGTGATAAAAATCATCTTCAGTCTTGTTGTGAATTATTACCAAAATATCTACCGAGCTACAGGCCAGGCTTCGCCAACCAAGGCAAATAAAATTACTTTTAGCTCACTGACAGCCAAATGCTTACATAAATACTGCGTGTGTTTGGAAAAAAAAATATTTTCTTTCCCATACGTTGAATGTAAGTAAATTGCAGCCGACAAATGATCGTGTTAACACCAATATCCATCTGTTTCTAGAAGATGTTGTCCTATAAGGGATAACTTGGGGCCACATTGTGCAATCCCGTCATATCTTGTTAATTAAAGGGTTTAAAAAGTGCCTTGCTAGCACTGGCTTAGTTTATAAAGTGCTCACTTAGTATGCGAGAATTTGAGTGATGCAAAAGTTAGATTATTAAAACGTATTATTCTACCCCTAGCATGAACTGTTTGCTATGGTTGGCCTAAAGCGCATCACGTAGTGTGAAACATTTTCAGTTTTGCTTTGAAAAGCTGGTCAACAAGTAGCATCAATGATGCTCGGTTGTCAAGGCCGTTCCCATTCCCGTGTGACATCACAGCAGAACTTTAGAGACGACAATTGTTTGCAATACAGTGAAAACACGCTGATCCATTTAGGCCTAATTTACAAATAGCATCGAAAATCACGCCACCATTCTAGCCATATTTTATTCTGAAGCTAGACAGGGACAGACTATATAAGTTTATTGGTACGGTAATATAACGATGGGCTGTTATATTTTGAAAATTCACCAAATTCTAAATCTTATTAATTTATTATTGATGCTTAAAATGAGGTCATAATCGTCAATGAAATGATAAACCTTGAAGTTTACATTTAGGCCTGGTAATATAATCTACATATACTATGTAACAGCGCTAATTGATCAATTTTAGTAAAACAAAAGAGGGGAGGGATGTACAACAAAATATTATTGCTGGTAACAAATCACCTGTTATCCTCATAACCAGTCAATAATTGTTCAATGTTTGCAAGTAAGCTCAGATGAACTGTCCTTTCACATCTTGCATATAGTTCTGACCTAATATCCATCTGTGACTTCCATCTTTTAAAACAAAACCCTTTGATTTTTGAGCACCCTTCACACATATATGTTGATCTTAATCTGAGTAATAGTAACTCGTTAGTATCTGTTTTGAAAAACGAACGAGACGAGTATCAAAACTTACGTATTATAATATATATATATATATGTTCGGAAGATGTTTGTTTTTGAATTTCGCGCAAAGCTACACGAGGGCTATCTGCGCTAGCCGTCTCTAATTTAGCAGTGTAAGACTAGAGGGAAGGCAGTTAGTCATCACCACCCACCGCCAACTCTTGGGCTACTCTTTTTACCAACGAATAGTGGGATTGACCGTCACATTATAACGCCCCCACGGCTGAAAGGGCGAGCATGTTTGGTGGGATGCGGATTCGAACCCGCGACCCTCAGATTGTGAATCGAGCGCCTTATCCACCTGGCCATGCCGGGCCGCTCGCCGTGAGAAGAAACATTGGATGGAGATTAGACTATTCAGAGTTTATCTCTTCTTTCGTTTAATCATGAGAAGTAGTGTGAACACTTTTCAGTTTAGTTTTGTAATTGCAGTAAACTTTTATTAGTTGTATTTTCTGTTTTTTTTTAGACAATAAGATAAATATTGTTGTAAAGTGGAGCTAGATATTGTCCCCTTTGGTAGTATTTAATTTGTAAAGTGGAGCTAGATATTGTCCCCTTTGGTAGTATTTAATTTAACAGAGTGGTTGAAAAGATTGTATTTACACAAAATTTTACTGTGTTCTGAAGACGCTTTAATAATAACTTTGTAGGATGAAGAGATTATCATCACTACTCCTTTTCATCTTATATCAATAATATTTCCTACTTCTAGCTTCCAAAATTAAGAGTTTTCAGTCTGCATTAGGTTTATTTTTATCGTTGTAGTTTCTATTTAATGTGAAAGTTCAGATCGTGGGTTTTGATTTGAAAAGAATTCTTGTAGTGTACTTCATCGGGACTTCGTTCACCAAAATATTTCCTTTAGGTTAGGAATGCCGCATGATGACCATTACAAATGTAAGAACCACCAAGATGATCAGAATGACGCCAATCACTTGATGAGTCGTGTTTTGGATTACTCCAGAGATCCTTGGGGATGGTCAAGCTGTAGTCGCTGGTACCTCACTGAATTTTTGGAGTAAGCTATTATGTTTTGACATATGTGTTGATGTTTACTCCCAGGAGATTAAGAATAGTAATAAATCAGCTGAAAATGCTTTAAATATGTTTTTGTGCTTTTCTGCAATAATATATTGATTTGTTGATTGATAAATTTCTATTCGGAATATCTGTTAGTGCAGTCAAAAACAGGGACACTTTTTAACAAAGCTGTACAGGACAGACAATTATAAGAAAGAAGAAGAATAAATTAACAGCACCACTGCTATATATTCTTCAGAACCTTCATAAACATAGGCTCACTGTATTAAATAACAGCCCATAATACGTATAATTTACATATTACCACTGTAACAAGCCTACAGTAATGTTTTTCGATTTTCTTGTGTTCATGGTTCTTGATGACGTTACAATATTTGGCAAACTTGTAAAATTGGTGAATTGAAAATAA